AGCACCTACAGGGCTGGAGGCCCAGTGATTGGGTCTTAGGGGTACCAAGAAGGGGGAGAATAAGAGGAGGAGAAGCAGTTTGGGATAGAAATTAGGGATTTGATGCTCATGTGGGGTGTTTGAGGTGATCATTTAGATAATCAGGTAGCAGTTGGACCTGTGAGTCTGGAGTTAAGGGCTGAGGTAGGGCTGAAGATAGAAGTTTCCTGGAGGCACTTGGGAACAGTACACAGAGCACAGTGATCCCTGAGGCCATGGTTTCCCATCTTCTCCCCTCAGCTCTGCCACTGCCTCCATCTGCAGCGGTAGAGCCCAGGTAGAGCATGAGCAACAGAGCCATTCCCACTTTCACCCCCACAGCTCTGGCCCCAGCAGCACAGGAGGGTAGCCCCCTCCCCTATCAACCCCAGTCCCCACCTAATGGCCCGACCATGGAGGCTCATACAGGCCCTGGAGTGGGGGGACAGAGTCTGGGGGTTGGTAAAAAAAACCTGGGGTCACATAATTGGGAACAGGATGGCCCTGAATAATGTCATAGAAGAAAAATGAACAAAGAAGTGAATTCCAGAGAAGCTTCCAGGCTGAAGGAACACTGTTGGATGTTGGCATGGAATGAGGGCAAAGGGAAGCTGGCTCCTGGTCTCAGATTGGGCGGCCTGGGGTGAGCGCTGCAGGAGGTTAGCTGAGGTGAGGCACAAACAATCTTCAAGGGTCCGTGTGCCGGGGCTGGGAGGACAGAGGGTGAGGTGGTGGGTGTTGGGGCCATGCACAGCCAGGGCAAACACAGGATGGAGGCATGAGGGTCAGAGTGTGAGAGCAGAGAAGCTCAGACTCACCTGGACAGTGTTGCGGGGGATGGGCCTGGCCCCAGCCTCAGGGAAGGGGGTTACATACAGGCTGCTGTGTTATCACCCTCCTGACATATACAATACACCTGCATATGCAAGTCTGCATTCTAGTGTGAGTGTATGTACATGAAACACACAAAATATCCATGCAGAATACACACAGACACACATACAGTACACACACATTCTGTACACATCTTCACTCTCCGAATGCACAAGGACATTTTTCCAGGTTTCCAGTTACTCACAGGGCAACCTCTAGAAGCTACAGCAGGCTGAGGATCCCAAAGGGGACTAGATTCCTCACACACACACATTCTTCCCATGGGGTCAGCATCAGTAAGCAAATCCCCAGGCGGAGCTGCAGCTCTCAGCCGGGGCCTCTGCAGTTGCTCTGAAATCTGTCTCACTCTCCTGGCTGTTTCCTTGCAGATTCGTGCAGAGCCCAAGCCTGGAGACCTGATTGAGATTTCCCGCATCGGCTCCTCGCACTGGGCCCTCTATGAGGGCAATGGTTATGTGATCCACCTGGCTCCCCCAGGTAAGGGGGTTTGAAAGTATAACTTCCAGAGGTTTGTTACCATGAAGAGAACAATTCAAAGCCAAATGCCACCCTGGGAACCCGTGTTGGTTTCTGCCTGGGCAGGGCTTGTGCTCACTGCACGTCCGTGTCCCTGGAGGCATCTCAGTGGTTCACAGCCCCTCAGGCAGCACGGAAAGTGGTCCGTGGTCCCCAGTGAAGTGGAGCTACGTCAGCATTAGGAGCTCTTCTGCTCCGTGCTCTTTGCTGGGCATGCAGAGAGATTTCATTAAAAAAGCCGCATCTCTGGGCCCCACAGTCTCATATAGAAGAAGGATCAGTGACAGTGGATGGTCAACTGGATGATGTCCATTCATGTAAGGAAGCACAATCGCAGCCACTGACCATCACAATATTCATTACCTTAAAAAGTATTCACAGCTCATTAAGTAAAAGATTAAAATCCGTGAATCCTCTAATCTAGCGGTTCTCAACCTATGTGTCACAAACAATGAAAATACATCCTGCATATCAGATATTTACACTACAATTCATAACAGTAGCAAAATTACAGTTGTAATGTAGCAACAAAAATAATTTTATGGTTGTGGGTCACCACAACATGAGGAACTGTATTAAAGGGTCGCAACATTAGGAAGGTTGAGAACCACTGCATCACATTGGTGAAGGGACAGACAGCAAAGGTCAATAGTGTCATCCCCTGGCCCTTCTTCCCTGTCTTGTGTCTTCTCTCTCCCTCCCTGGCCTCCCCTGCAGTTCCTGATACTCCTGTGTCTGATTCCAGGGGAGAACTCTGAGGCTGGCGCCCCCACCGGCTTAGGGGAGGTGAAAAGGCAGCTCCTGGTGGAAGTGGTAGGCAACTGCTTCTATAAGGTCAACAACCACTTGGACCACCTGTACAAACCACGGCCCATAAAGGAGATGCTCAGATCTGGGAAGGAGATGGTTGGCAAGGAGATGGAGTACAGTGATCTGAGCAGGAACTGTGAGCGCTTGGTCATCAATATGAGATACGGGAAGTCCCGCAGCCGGCAGGTACGACCCTCTGTGGGGGGCTCCTTCTCACTCCTAGACATCTGCTTGGGGGATAGGGGAGGAGAGGCCTGTGCATCCAGAAGAAAAACTTACCAGAAATGAGACAAAATTATGCTCCCTGCTTCCTGCTGGCTGGGAGTTAGGATGTCTGAGAGCAAATCTCAGAACTATTCCTGATCCACTCGGGGTCTTTGAACAGGTCACTTCCTCTCTGGCCTCAGTTTCCCCAAGTGCAGAAGGAGGGATGTTGGAGGACCTCTGGGGCTCTGGCCACCTCTATCCCTTTAGGATTCTTTGCCTCTAAGACCCACCCTACAGGCAGCTCCTGATGCCCTGTGTGTTGTCAGGAAAGGGTGGGCCAACCCGGGACCATGACAGGA